TCTCCAGGGGAAACCAGATGGATGCTCTAGAAAGTGGGAGGTGAGCTGTCAGGCACCGAAACGCAAAATCCCTCCGTGTGTCTCTATCCTACTCTTTATCTTTTTGATCCCATTTGTGTGGGAGGGAAGGAGACCGTTAAAGCAAACCCTCATCTACTATTCCATTCCGGAAACCTGGCTAAATGATTATGGTAGCTTCTTATAATAGAATATTCTAGAACCATGAAAAATCCTATTTCTGAAAAATATTTGCCGATCGATAGTACTTGCAATGATAGATGCAGATGTCGCTGACGAAATTTCACCAACCGGCATAAAACAGCTCATTAGAGGAGAGTCACCAAGACCAAAGGGTTTTGTTCTGAAGGTGATTTATCACCAAATGAGAGAAAATGCTTTAAAACATTAATAATTGAAGCAGAAAATGAAAAAAAAATGATCCTACGCCCCCTTTTCATAAAAGCAGAAAAGCCGTGGTTACAGGGAGTTCCCCCCAACACAATGACACACTGAGCCAAGAGCAGGAGCCTCTTTCTGTGCTGGGTGCTGCACCAAGGCATCAGCCAGCCTCACGCTGTCCTTGGAGTGGTGTATGCAATCCCACTCTGGGGGCCCCACACCCCCTCTTTGGCTCCGTGTCCCTCCACTTTCCCTCTTGCTCATTTATCACCAGATCACCAACCCCCTGCTGCTCCAGGGGCATGGCAGCCTTCTTGCTGCCCCAGGACCTTTGCACTAGAAAGGTAGCAGGCAGACACGAGGTTAACAGGAGGTTGAAGGGATCATTCTGTTGCCTGGGCCCACTGTGCTGATGCCCCACATACTTTCTTTTAAAAGCAATTTACCTGAGTGCTCTGGGGCCTTGCCTGGCTGCAGCCAATGGGATATGTTACAGTTCCTCAGCAAACAACCTGTTATCATCGGCAGGAAACTGCAGACCCAAAGACCTTCCCCTGCTGATAAGAACTGCATTATCCTGAAGGGCAGACTTGTGACCTTGACACAGACCAGATTCCAGGGAGACAGGAAAATTAGATGCAAAGTCCCCTAAGCATAAAAATCTATAAGAACAAGTTTTAATCAGAACCATCCCATTGGGCCAAGGTGACCTGAGTGGCCTTTGGATATTCAGCAAGTCATTGTAAGTAAAATCTCTCCTCCCTGGGGCAAGACCCGGTGCAGCTGGGACTTGAAAGTCTGACGCAATCCTGCTGTCAGTCAAAGATCAGGAGGTGGAGCTGGGTGGGACTCTCTGGAAACTTCCCTGGGACCCTCCATAAAAGTAGAGGGTTATTTGAGTGTTCTTTCTTTCCTTTTCTAATAAACCCACAAAATCCGTCCTGTGGGGTATGAAGAACCAGGCACAGGTCCCCAGTTGGCTCTGGCTCAGCCGGTGGTCTCAGGTGAGGCCCTGGCTGTTCCTAGGCCGTTCCCCTCCCCCAGGTAGCTCTAAGCCTGGCTCCCCTTCTTCTTGGAGGTCTCAAATGCCACGCTCTTGTTAGGACTTTCTTGGGTGCCCTCCCCGCATCCCTCCCAAACTTCCGGGTCTCCCCTCTCTGCCTGTCCTTCTTGGTATCACCTACAGCCACATATTGACTGTCCACTGATTGTCCTCCTGCACTGCCAGAGTGCAGGGCCACCCGGCAGGGACTCTGTCTTCTTCCCAGAGGTTGCCCCAGGCCCCAGACAACGCCAGGCAGTGACCGCTCCACTCGGGGGAACACGGGTTGCAGCGAGCAGGCCGGAGAGCTGCGTGTGGGGAAGAAGTAACGCTGTGCGTCTTCACTCCAAACGGCTTTGTTTCCGAGTCCTGCTCACTTGCACTTAAAACACGCTTATTTATGAAAAAGCAAAATGTGCACAAGGTATAAAACTCAAAAAGGCCAAAGACAGTGTGCAGATGAGCACTGAGCTCCCCACCCTGACCTGGCATCTGCTCCCCTGTGACAGGGGGACGCTGCTCTGGAGACTTCCCGGGCAGTTACTTCTCACCCCCCCTTCCACCCCTCCCTAATATTTTTGCAAGGTTTGTGCCCCTCCTTTCCTTCCCTGGCAGGAGAGATCCACAGAGAAGCCCCACCTAAGTGATTGAGATGCTAACTGCAGAACCATCCTTCACATTTGCAGACCCCAGAACATCTGGTCGCCTTGGTAACACCATCCTCAGTCTAGCTCAGGACACCAGCTCACACAGAGCATCTGGATTGCCCGAGGCTCCACTTCCAGAAAGGCACGGTCTGTCTAAAAGGAACCACAGGAACACCCCCCGCCCCCCGCCCCCAGCAGCGGGAGCTCCCTGGAGATGCTCTGGAGACGAAAGGGGACACAGCCGTGGTGTCCAGGACCCTGCTCCCCTGCAGCCCCTGGCCTGCTCCTCCTTCCCTCACTGTAAGGCTGGAATCCCTCCAGGTGCAGCTCTGGGGTTGATGGCCCCTCTGTCCTCTCAGGATGCCGGCGGCTCTTGCGTAAACCTGC